CAGGTTTTTTGCAGAGTGGATACCTTTGCCTGCAGTCGAGCAGCAAAATTTTCCAAGACCAAGTAATTGCGTAACGTGTCATTGTTTGAGTCGTGAAAGAAATCTGGGTCAGTCTCTATCATGTCGACACAATCATCTATGTAACCATCAACCGTTGGATAAGAAAAAATTTTCATAAAGGTAGTTTTGCCGATACCTACAAAGGAGGCTTGAATCTCTACAAGTATTTTGACCATGTCCGTCAGCAGTAATAATTTGATTCAAGCAAGAAGCCACATTTTAAATAATCCAAAAAAAAAAAAAAAAAAAAAAAAAAAAAAAAAAAAAAAAAAAAAAAAAAAAAAAAAAAAAAATTTTTTTTTTTTTTTTTTTTTTTTTTTTTTTTTTTTTTTTTTTTTTTAAATTGAAGAAATAACTTTATTGAAATATTTTTTGTCCTCTTGGAGCATTTGTTTCGTTGATTATTATTGTTTTCCATTACTACCATATCTAAGGCTTAGTGCGCGTTCGGATGGAATTTCAAAATTTTGGCTATCGTCATTGCGATCTCCAGCCATCGGTATAAATTCCAGTTCGGCTAATAAGTCACCTTTGGATAATTTTACCTTCTCCTTATCGGAATAATTAACTAAAACCACTAAAAGCCGACTATGATTGTCTAAAGGCCGAACATACTTGCTTGATTCATTAAAAAATGTCAGCNACCATATCTAAGGCTTATTGCGTGTTCGGATGGAATTTCAAAATAACAGCTATCGTTATTGCGATCTCCACTCATCTGTATAAACTCGAGTTCAGCTAATAAGTCACCTTTGGATATTTGTACCTTCTCCTTATCTGAATAATTAACTAAAACCACTAAAAGCCGACTATGACTGTCTAAAGGCCGAACATACTTGCTTGATTCATTAAAAATGTCAGCTAACACACGTACTGTTTGATCCAACCATAATTCTGGACTTGGACGAGGTATCACAAAACTAAATCTTGGTAAGAATTCCACATTTTCTTTTATGATTACGTATTTTGATTGTAAAGGTTCAAGTACTATATCCTCTGAACAAAACAGCTGATGTTCGATTGCAACACGTGATTCTGTTACTAGATTCANTTGTTTGACCCAACCATAGGTCTGGAGTTTGGACGAGGTATCACAAAACTAAATCCTGGTAAGAATTCTACGTTTTCTTTTATGATTACGTATTTTGATTGAAAAGGTTCAAGTACTATATCCTCTGAACAAAACAGCTTGTGTTCGATTACAACACGTGATTCTGTTACTAGTTTCATCATGATATTTGAGCTATGATTTTTGATGATATTTGAAAGTGTGAAGCTTCAAGCAAGTTGCAGCAATTTAAATAGTCCAAAAAAAAAAAAAAAAAAAAAAAAACAAAAAAAAAAAATTTTTTTTTTTTTTTTTTTTTTTTTTTTTTTTTTTTTTTTTTTTTTTTTCATACATCGTTACTACTCAATAATTTTATCAATTGCTCTCGTCCAACTTGTTGCCAATTTTTTTCACAAGACACATAGACTTGACCCAACTCATTTAAAATTTCTGGAGTTACCTTTCTAACGTCGGTAAAATATTCCGCGTTTCGATGTAAAAATGTTTCGGTCCACACTTTCACTCGATGTGTTTGCATCGCAATTTCATCGTTTTGCATGACGCTCTGCAATTCCCGACTGTACAATTGCAACAATGCCAAAAACACAACGCAGCCTGAATCCGTTCCTCCCAAACTACAGATTTCGGGTTTGCTATCCAACCATTCGTACATTTCACGTACAGACCGAGCATGTGAGCGATACTCCCGACGCATGCTAATCGGATGTATCATCGCCAACAAGTAAGTTTTCAAATCTTTTGGTTCCAATCCGTCAAACCCGTCTACAGCCAATAAACGATACATGTTACGGTTGCTCACGTCATGATTTGTAGTATTTTGACTCAACCACTGTTTCAACAATGCGCACCAATCCATTTCATCAGAGGGCAAAAGCTTTACATTTTTTCTCTTGACGTCCTTTGAGAGTAACGACACCAACTCTTCGCGAACCAATCCATCTTGAAAATCTTCCAAATCATTGTCAATGTGTAACCATTGAGCGACCTGCTTCAACACATCCCATCGATGTTTTCGAATCGTTTGCCGTCCCAGGAGACAATGACGCACCACTTCTTGGTGCAACAATCTCTTCAGAACTTTATGAGAGGAGGTAGTCTCGAAAGGTTTCTGGAGAAAGTGTTTTAAATGGTTTGTGTTCTGGCCAAATTTTGTTGATAACCCAGGTTGGCGCAACAACCGTTTGTTTGTCGTAGGTTTTTTGAAAAATCTTTTGCACGATTCCGGAAGAGACATTTTGGGCTATGGGTCCAAAATGATTCAATTCCCGTTGAATAAAAATGTCTGCGTATTCCACTCGAATGCAAAGTTTGGTAAATTGTTTAATAAACCACACCAATGGTTTGTTTCGTAAGGACAAATGGCGTTGCAAGTCTTGTTCAATGTTAAAGTTTTTGGTTGTCCTCATCAAAATGACGTATTTGCAAGCATCTCGATGTTTTCGAATCGTTTGCCGTCCCAGAAAACAGTGACGCGCCACTTCTTGGTGCAACAACCTCTTCAAAATGTTATGAGAGGAGCCAGTCTCGAAAGGTTTCTGGTGAAAGTGTTTTAAATGGTTTGTGCTCTAGCCAAATTTTGTTGATAATCCAGGTTGGCGCAACAACCGTTTGTGTGTCATAGGTTTTTTGAAAGAGCTTTTGAACGATTCTGGATGAGACATCTTGGGCAATGCGTCCGAAATGATTCAATTCTCTTTGAACAAAAATATCTGCATATTCCACTCGAACACAAAGTCTGGTAAATTGTTTAATAAACCACACCAATGGTTTGTTTCGTAAAGACAAATGGCGTTGCAAGTCTTGTTCAACGTTAAAGTTTTTGGTTGTCTTCATCAAAATGACGTATTTGCAAGTATCGGGAGACACGGCTGATCTCGTATTCACCAGCTTTGCATTATGCCATTGATCAAATGATGTTTCCATGAAAAAAGACAACGATGCAGCGTAGTGGCAGAAGGTTTACAGTGGATCAAATCAATGACATTCGAGAAAGAGTAAAAACTTTGAGACATGTAGATGAAATGGCTCTATTGGTGCATTTGTTGCTCGAAACTAAACTAAAACTGAATGATTTGTTGACTTGGTTCAACACGGATAAAACCAAACGTATGGAATTTTTGAAAATGCATCCAGAGTGTATGGCCAACTATGCTCGCGCACCCAGACTCTTTCCTAAAACACACCAAGAGTACTTGAAGCAATGGAGTAGAAAATGCCTCGAGTGGTACGGTGTTCAAAGGGCAACGTTTGAAATGTTAAAACGTTCAATATCGTGCTATACTGCAAGCTGATGAGTTGTCAGAGCTTTAGAAAANCCGAGACCAAGGGTATTCTGGCAGGATGAGCTTGAGAGGGGGCCACTTGGACGATGGAGCGTGGAGTGGGTTTCAGTGTGTTGGCAGGTGGTGAGGCCACAGGTATGGGTGGTGACAAGGGTTCAAAGAGCTGAGGCTCAGGTGTGGTAGGCATCGGAGAAATCAGCTTCGTCTGGCCAATATCCATAGAAGTGGGTGTCGGAGGTGATGGAGGAGGCGCCGACTGGAAATTCAATTCGGTCAAATCGTCTTCGTCAGAGGAGGAAGACGATGAGTCAAAGTCCGAAGAGGCAGCCATGGTTAGAAGAGCAGAGAGAACTGGCAAAGGCAAAGTACTGGCTCTGAATGATCTGAAGGCTCTACCTTATATACTGCTCAGGCAGGAAGTGTCACAGGATGTTTTGAAAGAACGATAATTTTTTTTTCACGGGAAGAGAGCCAAGAATGGATGGAGAGCCGATTGGGATTCGTGGGTGTCCTTTCCAAAGTGGTCTGGATCAGTTGTAGAGGCTGCGGATGATTTAAAAGATTTCAAACTTTAAACAACGTTGAAAAATGTTTAGATGGGAATGGCACGACGTCAACACTGGTCCAAACTTGAGCAAGCTGTGAGAGCTCTGGAAAATCTGGACGAGCTGAGAGTATCGACTCGATGCTCGACTTAAATATCAAACGTTCAAAAAATGCAAACGTTCAAAAAAAAAAAATTTTTTTTTTTTATACTCATCAGACAGGATGTGGGCGAGCTCCAAAACTTCCTGTGACGCAGTCGAAATGTTTAAAATTCTCCTCGCCACCGGATGCATTTCCCGCAATACATCCTGTTTTTTTAGCATTACCAGGAAGTGAAAGAGTTTAAGCACTCGACGATAAGGTGCAAAAATATCCGGTAGGACGAACGTCACGTCCTGTGTGTGAGGAAAAGCGAGTGCGTCGAGGGAAATGGGCTTCCTGTGAAGACAGATAAAGTATATTTTGAGACTAGAGCATCCTGTCAGACGGGATGTGTGTCAGAGGAAAACGGATGTAGTGGTGCTCAAAGCTCACCTTAAATGTACAACGTTAAAATTCTAACCTTGATTAAATTCTAAAGTGGCAAGTCCCAAGAAATTCTAAGTTGAGAGTTGGAGGGCTTTAAGAAATTCTGACGGGTCTGAGATTATAAGACTAAACGCCTGGCTTTAAAAAAAAAAAAAAAATTTTTTTTTTTTTTAGAGATGGGTAAAGGCGTAATTTTTAGAGCAANTGTCGTGTAACACGTAGCCCGTCTAAAGTGTTGAGAGGATTTTTAATTTTTTTCATCATTCAACTTTGCAAGTTGTGAGAGCTTCAAAAAAATCAGATTCTAAACATTTTGTTACATTACTCCAAACGAAATAAAGCAAAGATGAATCTTCCGAGGTACAGCACGTTGTATAGCAATTTTCATGGTTATACGGAAGCCAAAAATGAAGGAGATTTGATTGTGTTAAATTTTGCAGATGCGAAATTTGATCCTTGGTCCGTGTTGCATTTGTATCGATACGATACCATCTGTAGAAATACAACAAAACCTTTCGCTCAAGCACTCAAAGTGTTTTTCAATACAGAAGATACCATCACTGTCATGTGCCAAAATAATACTTGGAGCGCTCTCTTGGGTAATTCCAAGACCATTATGCCTATGCCCGAGGAATCTGCTACATTTCAAATGTATGCCACCCCTTACTTTGTAAGCGATCCCGCTCTTGTCGCCGAATACATGCGAGGAATATCTCATCAAGCGTCAGATATTATATTTTCTTACAAAACTGCGTTGTCTATTTGGATAAGGAGGATTTACCGTATCCCGGTGGAAACTATTTTGGAGATTGCAGACCGTGCACAAATGCAATGTATCGCATTTGCATTTTGAGTAAGGAATCGTCCCAACATGTACTGTCTGTTGCTGAAGAATGGCGCAGCAAACAGAATATGGGTATTGAAACTCGATTGTATTTGACCAAAGATAAAATTACAGATACAAAATTGATTCCTTTTCAACTCGTTGAAAGACCTTATTTACCAGAAGAGAGGGCTGTCGGAACCGGGGCGATACAAAAACGCTTGTCCATAAACAGACCCCACCTTATCATACAAGACATTTTAAACTCGTACCACCGTAATCATGTCGTCACTCTCCAAGGAAAACCTTCAGATGACGTTTTGCAGCAATTGGGCGTCATTGTCGAATGTCCATTACGCATCACGTATGAAGGAACGCGAGCCCATTCACAGGAACCCAAGGAATTTGTGGCATTGTCTGTAAATGGACTATTGCCTAAACGCGTTTTGTATGTCCGATATCCATATGACGTGTATACAGAATTTCATGAAGTTCCCACCACCGCGTGGACACCCATTTATTATGTCCCGACATTTTTAAAATTACCACCCAATACAGAAAAAGTGAGCGTAGACTCGACGGTGCTGGGATACGCGTACAATGGAGGATTTTTCTGTTTTAGCTTCCCGATTTTGGAGGGACACCCTGCGTTAGAATCGCAACGAGGCATTCAATACATTTTTCAAACTGCGACACTCACGGATGAATTTCAAGTGATGGAATCGTTTCGATTTGATCACGTACACGCAGTCATCAAAGGTATTCAAAAGGGTGTAGCGTATCCATCGTGGTGCCTCACAAAATCCGACACTGTACTTCCTTCCAAAGTTCAAATGCCAAAGTTGGTGATGGAGTGGTTGAATTTGTTTCGGCACAACAAAAGCAATTTTGTCGATGTCAAAATGGTTCCAATGGCGTTAACATTAGTTCAGCACAAAGTTTGCTTTCAAACAAAAATTACAACCCCTCATAAAAAGGAGGGCTACGTGTACATGTTGAGTGATGACGACATTGAGCTGCAGATGGGTCAAAACGAGACAAATTACATCAACAGTAATCGTGTATCTAGAGGAGATGAAAAGACTTTTGAGGAACAGAGTACATGTGTGATAAGTTGATTTTCAAGTCGAGCGAGTTTCAAGAAATTCTAAAGTTGAGGTCTTGACGAAATTCTAAAGTTGTGAGTTTAGAGAAATTCTAAAGTTGCGAGTTGAGGGCTTGAAGAAATTGTGACGGTTCTGAGATTTTCAAGACTCAACGCGTGGCTTTAACAAACAACGTAAAAAAAAAAAAATTTTTTTTTTTTTTTTTTTTTTTTTTTTTTTTTTTTTTTTTTTTTTTTTTTTTTNTCGAAATTTCAACAGACGATGAGGTGCAACAATTAGATGGGTATGATTCCTGGTTCCTTTCAGCAAAAAATCCACAGCCACCCAATTCAAATGAGGGTTGATTAGCAAAACCAAAAAGTATAACAATTCCAATCGAGTCACTTCATAGAGCATTGTATTTTCTCTTGCCCAGGTTCTGGCCAAATCTTCAATGATTGTGACAACTTCATCCTTTCGTGAACATTCGATGGCCATTTCTCCATTAAATCGAATGTCTAGTTTGACAAAAAGAGGTTGATTAATTAAAAAGTACAAGTATCCATAATCATTTTTATTTTTCAAAAGATGTTCGATATACGTCTTGGCCATTTGCTGTACCGTTGGACATTTGACAAACTCTAGTGTTATTCTTTTGGTAAACGGTTTCATTGTTTCGCATGTTGGGATTTTCTTCTCAATGTCCATCTTGTGTCGTTTGCGCATGAGCTGAATCAATTGATCGTTTGGTAAATCCAATTGTCTCAGCTGTGGAATCATGTCGCTCTTGTCTTTTTATAAATCTTCCACGCTATCCACAACACTATAAGCACTGTCGTGATTCCCGCTGCCCAATAGAGTAACGGTACCAAATACGTCACCCAATTCCAAACACCAAACGTTAAGTCTTGAGCATAATGGGCCAACGCTTCTCCAATCGTGGGTCGGCGGCATTCCATTTCTTGACCAGGTAAGCAATTATAAAATTGACAATCGCATAATTTACAGCACGACTTTTCCTTGTCTTCATCAAAATTTAAACAAGGGTCTCCTTGTACGGTTTGCGAGCAGAATGGAAGCTCATTCACTGGATCCGGTTGACAACAACTGAGGTCTCTCACTTTGCACACGGCGTTTTCCGATTTGACGAAACAACCCGAATTGGATTGTATGTAATCGTTGATGGCAGACACGCCTACGCCTACCACAGTGGCAGCAGTGACCGCCACCAAACCTGTTTTGGTAAACACTTTGGAAATGACGCGACGCAGCGAATCATTCTTACTCACAAAAGATCGTAAGTGCTTTACATTTTTTACCGTCCCCCTAAACCCTTTGAAGCTTTTTCCAATTTTGGGGCGTTTAAACACCCATTTTTTCCAAGCGGCCATTGCTTGATTTTCAAAGTAAACAAAGTAAGGAAATGGAATCAACTGCTTGCCTTTTGAGTGGAGGAAATACCTTTTGCACTGGACGTAAGAACAGTCACTTGAACAACCTCTTGTGTGCCAAACATTTGAAAGAATATTACGGACTCGAAATATATGCGCATTGCATAGAAAAGCCTACTTCTTATAATTTTACGGGTTGGGTTTTGAAGCCATGCGATGGAATCATTTTTAAACGAAACGAAGTCATTATCCCCGTGCAAAGTTTCATCGATAAAACGTATCGAAATAAAAATGATGCAAACACGCCAGCGCTGACTAATAAGGAAAAAACGTATTCCATGAATCACGTATTGGACAAATTTATGCGAAGAGCAACTGACAAGACTCAAGTCGTTAAAGGTGATCGGAAAACATTCGAAATGCTTCGAAATTTATCCGAAGTATCTAAAAACGTAAACCTTAACCCTAACACAGCTTGTGAACTGGATCCAGTCAACATTGGTTATATCCGATCGAAAATGACAGTATCGGAAACGTTTATTGAAAATCATGCCAACAAGGAGCATATGAATGGAATTGTATTAAACGGGGATAAAAAATTGAGCCTCATGCAAGAAGAGAAATTGTCTCTATGCCTTAAATACTTTCTCAGTAGAATTGAAACCTCCCATCACATCGTGAAGGATTTAAATTCAACAACATGGGAGGTGTCGAATGTACTGTACAGTTGCATGTACATTGAAGGTATTGGTGTCGTGGCCAGCAAGGAAATCGAGCGTAGTTATCCACTCGTCATCTTTGGATCTGCTAGAGGAATTCACGAGGCAGGGGCAGCGTCCGACTTGGGATTCTATGCTGAAAATGTTATCGTGCATCCCAAAGAAATTGTAAACCACCAAGTTTCGAAAAGTATGATTAATCAACAAAATGCATTGCGTAACATCCGACTTGGGATTCTATGCGGAAAATTTTATCGTGTATCCCAAAGAAGTTGTAAACCAAAAAGTCTCGAAAAATATGATTAATCAACAAAATGCATTGCGTAGAACAATGATTGTTGGACGCGCCTATTAAATACATACTTGATTAAAAAAAAAATTTTTTTTTTTTTTAATTGAAATCAATAACTTCCTTCTTCCATGACAACGCACTCGGGTTTCTCCATTTTCATCATTTTGCACGAGTACACATCAATTACCCCGTCTTCATCATCGTTGTCCAAAGCTCTTTTCTGAGAAGCATCTTCTGGTACGTCTGGCTTAGGTTCCCAAAAAACGTCTCCCAAAACTACTTTCGATTCTTTTAAATTAGATTCTGGAAAGGCAATCATTTTCAACACGTTGCCACCTAGACGAACACATTCATCCTGGCTTTCCTTTAACGTATAAAAATATCGGATATTAAATTCCAATTTCAGAATAGCGACAAATGTTCCCTCAAACATTTGCGATATTTGAGTATCAAATCGATTCATAACCCTACGCCCATCATAGATGGCTGTTTTCACGATACAACTATGAAAGTTGTTTAATTTTAAATGTGCGCCTTTACTAATCATTTCTTCTCTGGCATCATTGCAGTACTTGCAAAACATGCTGCATGCACCAAAATTTAATTTGCTCGTGTCTGAAAACTTTACATTTTCCACATCGCTGTTCATCGCTGCACTCAATACGTTCAAAATGGGACACTCTTTTAAATTAATGGCGAAATACTTGCTGTCACTGCGTTTTGAATCCTTGTCGTACGAACGATAGACAGAGCATTGTCCAACTAGAATCACTTTAATGGATTTGTTGTTCAAGTTTTGAACGCGAAATTGTTGGTTGTATGAAACTTTTGCGGGACCATAAAGAGATCTGGCATC